TGAGCTGTTGTTCAGCATCTTAGCTGTGGAGGGCAGTGTCACTGGCCCTCATATGTGGGATCCGAACCGGGGCCCTCTGGCATCCTAAGCCAGTTCTTAACCATCACACCACTCTGCCGGCCCTCAAAGGGACTCTTGAGTTTACTGCTATGTCTACTAGTTTGGGAAGATAACTGCCAATTCTGCCTTTTTCACTCACTTCTCTGGGAAAATTCTTTGGCAGTTTGAAAAACATCCATTTGACAGAAAACAATTGCTCCTACTACCCTCAGCCCTCTCAGTGATTTTACCTCTGACTCTCAAGGTCTCCAGAACTTTATTTTTTGTGCGAGTGTAATGATGAGCTTACTGTCGTAAGAGTCTCTCATGGTTAAAATAAGCAATAAGTAATAGTACTAAAATTTCTGTGAGGATCAAATGAGTTAATTTATATAAAGTTCTTAGAATAGTGCTTGGTACTTAGTGCCAAGGGTACACTTATGTTCCCTAGCATGTGCTGCCCTGAGCTAAGCTGAAAATTTCCTCTCCTCTCAAAGCAGTCACTGATTGTTTTCCTGTAAATTATAATGTTCAGCATTAGGTGTTTTAGTAAGTGAAATACGTTCCATAGTACGTATTTAGGACACACAACAATGTTGAAAAATACTTTCAAATTATAGAGTCTTACAAATTTCTGGATCTCTAGCACCCAACATATGGCTTTATGTAATATAATAGGTGTTTAATAAACCTTTGATAAGCAAATGAATAAATGAGTTACATAAATGAGAGACATACTTTCAGGGAAAGTTGGACCTATTTATTATCACATGTCTCACTACCTGACCCATCTCAATTAAAATGAGTTAATCTCTTTTATTTCATCCCCCCACACTGAAAGTCATAAATGTTAGGGATAAACATAGGCATGATTGATTAAATCATTGGCCATTGGCAACTGATTCAACCTCCACCCCCTCTCCCAACTACATCAAAATAAACAAATGAAACAGAAACAAACTCATAGATACAGAAAACATTTTGATGGTGGCCAGATGGGGGTGGTTGAAGAAGGGGAAGGGATTAAGTACAAATTGGTAGTTACAAAATAGTCATGGGGATATAAAGTAAAGCATAGGGAATATGATCAATAATATGGTAATAACTATGTATAGTGCCAGGTGGGTGCTAGTCAGGGAGATCACTTCGTAAATTCCATAAATTTCAAACCACTAAGCTTTAAATTAATATAAAATAATATTGAATGTCAATAAATAAAATAAATAATTTAAAAGACATGAATGTTTTGGGGTAATGGAACTGTTCATTACCTTGCCTTATTTCATCAGTGTATACATCAGAAAATTAATCACTGTATACTTTAAATACATGCAGTTTATTATATATCAGTTATACCTTGATAAAGTTGTTTTAATTTTTTTAAATGAAGACTAAGTGAAAACATTTTCAGAAAATCAAAAGTAGAATTTGTCAGTAGACCAACAGTATAACGACATACCAAAGGAAATTCTTCAAGCTGAAGAAAAATTGTACCAAACAGAAAATCTATACAAAGGAATGAAGAGTACCAAAAAAACAATAAGTATATGGGTCAGTAAAAATATTTTTCTCATCTTTAAATTTTTAAAAAAGATAATTGCTTAAAGCAAAAATAACAATGTATCATGACATTTATAACATGCAGAAGCAAAATGTATGACAGAAACATAAAGGACTGAAAGGGGAAAAGGAAATAATCTGTTGTAAAGTTCTTATACACATGCAAAGTGGTATATTACTTCAAGATAGACTATAGTAAGTTAAAGATGTACACTGTAAATTATACAGCAATGATTACATATAAGCATAGCTAATAAGTCAATAGTGAAAACATGGAATACTAAAAGATACTCAAGTCAAAAGAAGGCCAGAGAAGAGAAAAAAGAACTGTTGGGCTAAAAATAGCAATATGGTACACAAACCTGCTCTTAGCAATAATTTCATTAAATGATAATGGCTAAACATTCCAATTAAAAAGCAGAAATAGAATCAATAAACATGAAGACCCAATTATACTCTCTGTTTTATGTCTAAACGTGAAAAAGAGATTGGTTAAAAGTAAAAGAAGACAAATATACATGCAAAACTAATGAGAAAGTAGGAATGTGTATATTAATATTAGTCAAGGTAGAATTCAGGTCAAGAAATATGGGGACAAAGAGGGACATTACATAATGATGAAAGGATGAATTATTAAGAAGACATAATAATCTTAAGTTATGCACAGCTCAAAATAAAGCAAAAACCAATGAAACGAAAAGGTAAAATAAACAAATCCACATTTATAGTTGGAGATTTCAACACTCTTCTCTCAGTAATTGATATAAGTAGATAGAGTTGGACAGTATAAATCAAACTGACCTATTTGACCTTTATAGAAAACTGCATCCAACAACTGTAGAGTACTACTCAAATATCCATAAAACATTCACTATTATAGATCATAGTCTGGCCCATAAAAACAAGTCTCAATAAATTTAAAAGGATTAAAATCATACAGAGTACCTATGATCATTATGAAATTAAATCTAAAAATAAAATATCAGGAAAATCACCAAGTATTTAGAAATTAAACACACTTTTATGTAATTTATGGTTCAAAAAAAATCACAAGCTTAGTTAAAAAATGTTTTGAACTGAATAATGAAAACAAAATTTGTGAGATGCAGTTAAAGCATGCTTAGAGGGAAATACATAGCTTTAAATGTTTATATCAGAAAAGAAAGGTCTAAAATCCATGATATAAGCTTGCATCTTCAGCAGCAGCAAATTTAGCTCAAATAAGTAAAAGGAAGAAAATGAGTAGAAAACAATGAAGCAGAAAATGAACATATATATAATAGAGAAAAATAAATTAGAACAAGAGCTGATTTCTTTAAAGATCAGGAATATGGACAGACCTTCAAGTTTGACTATCCAAGATAAGTCAAATTACCAATGTCAGAAATGAGAACAGATATTAAAAGGATAAGGGACTGACTTTATGCCAATAAATTGACAACATAGATGAAATGGACAAATTCCTTGAAAGATATAAACGATGAAAATTGACATAATTTAAAATCGCCCTAGAGATAAATTGAGTTCATACTTTAAAAACCTTCCTGTGATATACACCTGTGTTTAAGAATCATAGCACTACATAGATCTTGAGGGCCCTAACCCTTTCCTTCCCATGGAATCCCCAAGAAAAAAGATTCATTACTAGACACAACACAAGAGCCTTCAAGGCCATGAAATTGGGTAGTGGTAGTGGGGGAGCGTTTGGTAGGATAATCAGAACTCAAAAAGCTCTCAAGAAAATAACTTTAAGAGATCCAAGATGGTGTAGATAAACACTGTGCCTACGTCCTACCATGAAAACATTAAAATTACAACTAAATTATAGAACAATCAACCTGGGGAACCATCTGAAGTCTAGCTGAACAGAAATCCTATGACTAAAAATATGAAGAAGCCACTTTGAGATTGGTAGGAGGGGCAGAGACACGGAACAGATCCCAAACCTCTGTGTGGTGGTTGAGAACCTCGGCTGCGGAGGTTCCCTGGGAGCACCGAGGGACCCCCAGCCTGAAGTACTGATGCCAGAAAGAGGAGACCCCACAATATCTGGCTGTGAAAAACAGTGGGGATTCTGACCATCCAGGTGGGACAGAAGGCTGCAGGAAACCCAGATTCCTCTTAAATTGCCCTTACACAGACTCGCTCACAGGCACTCACCTTGGGCTCCAGCGGAGGAACTGCAACTTGGGAGGCATCAGAGATGTACAAGGGGACAGACTGAGGTGTGTGACTTTGGAAGGAGGATTAAAGGACAGTTGGCGTTTTCCCTGTGTGAGGTCCTCCTCTAATGCAGCCAACAGGCAGGCGCCATTTTTCCTGTGTTGAGCCAGACGCCAAAGGCCAAATCTGAATCTGATTGGCCTGGTGAGCTCCACTGTTCCACCCCACTGATTCACAGGGACCCTGCCCTACGCAACTCCCCCAATGCTGTAGGCACTTTCTCCAGCAGCCAAGCCTGCCCATATTGCACTTTTTCTTGGGAAACTATTGGAGTCTGGCAGGCCGCCAGCGGGAAGTGACTGGCCTCAGTGTGCCCTGAGACTTTTGCTGAGTAGCTCCAGCCTCAGCACTGGCACCAAACCAGAATTTACACAAACCTGGTGACCACAGCTCTTCCACTCCAGTGATTCCCTGAGACCCTGCCTCACCCAACTTGCATACCTCACAAAGCTCTAACAATGGCTGAACCTTAAGGAAACTGGCAGGTGGCAGCAGGACTCAGGGTGTCCTGGCTTTTTACGGAGCTATCCCAGGCTTGGTACTGGTAGCAGATGTCCTTGGTTTGTAGTGTGGCCTCTCCCACGCACAGGAGCAAACAACCATAGGTTGTTTTGTAGCTCCTACCAGGTAGAGCCTGTTAGGTCACAGGCAATGGGTGACCTGGGCCTGCGCTGGAGCCCCTCCCAAGATGTTCCAGAACCAACATATTTGGAGGTTGGCTTCAGACCACAGCAGAGCATCACCCAATTAGCCCCCCGAGTGGCACACATAAAGGGTAGTCTCAACAGGCACCAGAGCCCATTGGGGTGAATCCCACTCCACAGGTTTAGCCCTCTGCAGAGCAGCCTGTAAGCTGTGGACATGGCCAAACTCCACAGCCAGTC